GCAGCATATTGTTGGATCTAGCTTCTTGACCCATTCTGCCAGTCTTGTTTCTTTTGATTGGTGAATTGAGACCATTAACATTGATGGTTATAACTGATACGTATTGACTTATTCTTGTCATGACTTTTTCTTTTTGTTAGATTCTCCCCCTTTGCATTTAATTTCTTGTGCCTGGTGGATTCATTCTGCTGGGCTTCCTGGAGTTGTGATCCTCATTGTCTTTTCCTAGGATATTGTCTAAAAATAGTTTGGAGTGCTGGTTTGGTATTAATGAATTTCCTCAGGTGCTCTTTGTCATGAAAGTATCTTATTTCCCCATCAATTTTGAAAGACAGCTTTGTAGGGTACATCAATCTGGGTTGGAGGTTGTTTTCCTTTAGGGCTTGAAATATGTCATTCCAAGCCCTTCTTGCCTTGATGGTTTGTGTTGAGAAGTCTGCTGTGATTCTGATGGGCTTTCCTTTGTATGTGATATGTTTCTTTTCTCTAACTGCTTGTAGAATTTTGTGGTTCTGTTGGGTTTCTGCAATCTTATTATATACCTATGTGTAGATTTTTTGCCATATTCCTCACATATCTCTATATCAAGTTCTTTTCGTTTACTTGGGAAGTTTTCTGCCATTGCTTATGTGAACAGTTTTTTCTGTCATCTCCCTTGTATCCTGTTTCTTCATTGACTCCAGTCAGTCTTATGTTATTCTTCTTTGCATCACCTGGCAGCTGCTGGATTGATTTCTTGTCGTCCCTTACTATTTTTAAGAAAATTTTCTTTTCCTGTCACTAATTGCAGTCCTGTCTTCTAAATCTGAAATTCTGTCCTCACATTGGCTCATTTTGCTGTGTTAACTTTCAGTGGAGTTTTTAATCTCCTGGAAATCTGTTTGCATCTGTTTTATGGATTCCATTTGTTTCCTGTTTGGGATTCCATCGTATTCCACAGCTCCTCTATTTTTTTATCTGTGTCTGCTCTAGATTTGTTAATCATGTCTTGCACTGTGGGCACAATCTTTGCTGTTATGTGAGAAATTATTTCTGATTTCATTTTTCCAGATCCTGTTTTGTTGCCAGTTCAGGGAGTCCAGGTAGTTGGGTATCAGATTGTTCCATCTCATTTCCCTTTGGGCTTGCCTTAGGTAATCTGGAAGTCTAGTTTTGAAACTTGTTTAGGTGTCTTCTCATTTCAACAGGTGCAGCCTGCTGCTCCTTCGTTGAGGCAACATTTTGCTCACCCAGTGGCCTTCAATTCTCAGCAACCACAGAGTGCCCTTTTCTCTGCTGCTCACCACTGCACCATTTTCTGGATTCAGAATGGTTGCCTTCTGAATCCTTGAGCCGACCTGTTGTCTGGACAGGCTTCTGTCCTCAGCCTTTGTACACTTGGAATGGTTTTAGGCATGTCTGTGGCTAGGGCCTGCCTCCCTATGTTGCTGTGTCTGGAAGGGCCTTTGACTAGGGCCTATGCACCCCAGTCCCTGGTGTCTGAACGCTTACCAATGGTATCGGTTTGAGCCTCTGGCTATTGCTTGTGCACCTGTGGTGCTCTTTTCCTGGTAGGCCCTTGGCTTGGGCTTGTGTTCCCAAGCAGCTGGGATGGTGGCAGGGCCCTGGCTGGATCTGCGTGCAGCCGCATCACTCTGGTCCACACCACTGCTCGATGGGATCTCTACAACTCTTTTTGTAAGTAAAATTTATATACAGTGAAATACGTGATGTTAAGTGTATAATATAGTGAGTTTGCACATACACATATTCTCTTGTATCTCACAGTCTCACATCTCTCAAGATGTGAAATGTGTCTATCCATCACTTCAGAAAATTCCTTTGAGGTATATATTATTTTTGTCTTTTTAAAAATTTCATCTAAGCAGATTTATGTTTATTACTGGTATGTTTATTAATAATATGTACTCTTCTGTCTTCCTCTACATAGTGTATGTGAAATTTATCCATATTTTAAATACATCAATGGTTCTTATTACTAAGAAGTAATCATCTGTATGATCATACCACATGTCTTGCTAATTTAATATTGACAGATATTTAGATTGTTTCTGTTTTTAAGTTTATTGTGGCCTTTTTATGTCATCTTGGCTAAGCCACAACCCCCATTACTCATACAAATACTAATTGGGGTGTTACTATAACGATATTTTGCAGATGTGATTAAAGTCCACAATCAGTTACCATTTTAAAAGGGAGATTATTCACAATAACATGTGTTCTGGCTTATACCTAGATGTCCCCCCAAAGCCTCATTTGATCATAGGTGGGGCTTTTTGAAGGTAACTGTATCTGGAGAGAGTGATACTGGGATTAAGGATATGATGCTGGGATTGACTCATGGTACCGTGCTAGGAATAAGGATGCCCCACCTTGAGTTTGAGTGCTACTTACCCCAAGAACAGGTAGAGGGCTGCTGTTGTTACTGCTTGTTGCTTGCAGCTTGGCTGCCTTCTGCCTGCCATGAACTGTTTCTCCTCTACAATGTCCCTCTGCCATGCCACCCTACCTGGGAGCCAGCCTACCTTAGACTGAAACCTCTACAAACTGTGAGCCAAATAAACCTTTCTTCTTTCAACTTTTGGTGTCAGGTATTTTGTTTCAGCAATAAGAAAAGTAAGACAGACTGATGAGGCTAGTTTAATCAATTGAAAGGCCTTCAGAGCAGAAGAAGAAGAAATCCATCCCTTGGACAGCAGTAGCTGCCTATGCCTGAGTGCCAGCCTCCTGGAGTTGTATAACCAACTCCTTGCAATAAGTCTCTTCATCTGTTTTCTCCTAGTAGCTTTGTTTCTCTGGTTGAACCCTGACTAATGGATGGCTATCGTGAATAAACCTAGACATTCTTCTGAATGGTTTTTGTGGACATACATTTTCAGTTTCTATTGGGTAAATACCTGGGAATGGAATTTTTAGGCCAAAAGGTTGATGTATGTTTCATTTTATAAGAAATTGTGAAGTATTTTCAAAGTTGTGCCATTTTAGGTACTCCCAGCAATATATGAGATTTCTCCTTGTTTAGCATCCTTGCCAGCGTGTGATGTCATCATTCTTCGTTTAATTCAGCCATTCATTGGGTATAACAGTGACATCTCACTGTGGCTTCAGAGTGCATTTCTCTAGTGACTGGTCATGGTGACCTGTGTTTCCTTTGATTGCTAGCCAGTGTGTATCTTTCAGTGTGAGGTGCGTGTTTGTCATCTGCCCATTTTTCTAAATTGAGTTACTTGTGCTTTTATTATTGTTGAGTGTTCTTCAAATATTCTCAGTATAAGACCTTTGTCACATATTAGTTTTGTGAATATTTTCCCCCTAGTCCTGCCTAAACATTTTCTTACTAGTATTTTACTGACCAGAACTATTTAATTTTGAGCCATTGTAACTTTCATTTAGGCCTTTTTCTGAACTATATGGTCACTGCTTTCCTTATCCATTCTAAGAAATCTTACATATCATGGTGGGTCTGATGGTATACACTTGTAATTCTAGCACTGTCGGAGGCTGAGGAAGGAAAATAACAAGTGTAAGCCCACCCTGGGGAATTTAGTGTCTAAACAAGATCCTATCTCAAAATTAAAAATTAAGGGAGGCCAAGCACGCCTAGGAATGTACCTCAATGTAAAGCCCCTGGATTCAATCCCTGGTACCAAAAACAAAGTAATGCAGAAGGAGGAAAGAGAGAGGGACAGAGAAAAGGAGGGAGTGAGGAAAGCAGTAATAAAGCTATTGTCCTTTGTTTTATTCTAGAAGTTTTAGGATTTTATATTTGTCTGTGATCCATGTCAAAATTTTATTTGTAGTGTAACAGTTGAGCTTTATTTTTTTTTCTATGAACATCTTACTTGTTCAATAGTGTTTGCTAGAAAATGTATCCTTTCCTGGATGGATTGTTTTAGCACCTTTGTTGGCAAGCAGTTGACTTCTGAATTCTATGTAGTTCTCTTGATGTGTTGGTCTTTCCTTGGGGCCATGACCTAGTAAATGTTGAATGAGATAGCTGAGTCCTGCACTTTGCTTCTTTTTTCAAAATTATTTTTCCTCTGCTACATAAATTTTTTAATGGACATACATTTCTTCTCAATTATTACTTTTTTTTTTGGTACCAGGGATCGAACTTAGGACCTTGTGCTTGGCAAGGCAGGTGCAGCACCACAGAGCTAAATCCCTGGTCCCTTCAGTTAGTACTTTTAAAAAGTCTACTGGGAGAGCCAGGCATGGTGGTGCACACCTGTAATCCCAGCACTTGGGAGGCTGAGGCAGGAGGATCACCATGAGTTTGAGGCCAGCATGAACTACATAACAAGACCCTGTATCAAAAAACAAAAACAAAAAAAGTAAAAATTCTACTGGGATTATCATTAGAATTAAGATGAATCTACAGATCTAAAATGAACATCATGGCAGTATCCCAGCAGATGGTATATTTCTCTGTCTATCTAGGTCTTTACTTTTTCTCAGTGGTGTCTTCTATACCCATTGGGACATTTAGTCCTAGGTATTTTCCGTTCTTGCACATAATGGTCAATGGGATTTTGAAAAGTTTCATTTTCCCATTATTTGCTGCTACTGTACAGAATTACCTTTGATCTTAACTAAATTTACTCATGTGCTCTTTTTTTTTTGTACCAGAGATCAAACTCAGGACCTTGCACTTGCAAGGCAGGTGGTAGCACCACTGCATTAAATCCCTGGCTGCTCTTCTTTTTAATTCAGCACTTTTTTAGGATTTGTTATGTAAATAATCAGGACATCTTCAGAAATGGACAATTTTACCTTTTTTTGGTGCCAAGGATTTGATCCCAGAGCCTCTCCCTAGTTAAGCATGTGTTCTACCAGTGAGCTACATGCCCAGCCTATTAATTTTTTACATTCTTCATGTCTGTTATGGGTTGTCAAGTACAGTGCTGAGTGGCAGTGATGCCTTTCCTTTGATGCTGATCTAAGGTATGAGGCTTTCAGCATTGAGTATGAAGTGAATAGTCACATATTACTTGTTTCAGGTACTGAACAGTACAGTGAATATACTGGCTATGCCGAAACATACCGTTGGGCCCGCAGCCATGAAGATGGGAGTGAAAGGTGAGTCTGTTTCTGACTCTAGTGTTGCCAGACTCAAAATGAAAATGTGTGGGATTTACCCTGGTGTGCTCTGTGTCCCTTCTGCTCTTCTCCCAGCAATTGGGTTTTCTTTTTAAACTCAGTATTACATGTTCACTTAAAGCTATATTAATGCCAGGTGTGGTGGTGCACATCTGTAATCCCAACACTTGGGAGGCTGAGGCAGGAGGATCACCATGAGTTCAAGGCCACCCTAAAATACATAGAGAGACCCTGTCTCAAAAAAAGGGGCTGGGGGGACATTTAGCTCTGATTCCCGCTACCACCCTATGGTAGCTATCTTTCTTTTCCATCTTTTTTCTAAATACACTGTCTTTTGTTACATTTGAAAAAACAAACAAACTATATTACTGTTTCCATGTACCAAAGGGAGGAACAGACAATAAAAACAGGAGGTCTACAGCAAAAACAAGGAAGGCAGAGTTCTCTATAGTTTGTACTTCTAAGCTGCCACCTGAGTGTGGTGGAGGTTACCTTCCAAGCCAAAACTTATTTTGAATCAGTTCTAAACAGAGCTAGAAGCCTTTGGCCAGCTCATTTCACCATCCTTAATTTTTCTATGAGATTAGCTAGATGGAAGAACCTGCTTTGGGACTGTCTGCCTAATGCCACAAACCCCTGCCAACAGGACTTGCAAGTGAACTCCGCCGCTGCTGTCCCATTTCTTGAAGTGTATTTCAGACTTTGACTTCTTGCTTCCCCACTGAATTGTGTCCTTTACCTGAGGCAAGTTGTTTTTTAATGAGAAAGCCACTGGCAGAAAGAAACTGGCTGTTGCCCAGGTAGCCAGATCTGTGCCACACTTCCTCTTTCTAATGGCTCACATCAGCCTCTGCTTTCTTGCCTTTTGTTTTGTGTAAAATTTGTGGCCAGGCAGCAGTTATCTGTGTGGATGTTTACTCCCAATAATTATTTACAGACTGACAAAAGGTTTCTGTTGTTATTCTCTATAGAGTGAGAAGATGCTTGGCATATCAGTATGTGAAACTTCCTAAAGAGCTGAAATATCTGGAATTGTATACATTCCTAAAATTATCGTCCCAAATAGTACTTTGTACTTCCACTGGTCAACATGTTGCTGTCTGCTTTGACGTTTTTTCTTTTAAAAATACTTTCTAAGGGCCCGGGATTTAGCTCGATGGCACCCTGCCTGCCTCACAAGCACAAGGCCCTGATTTCAATCTCCAGTACCAAAAAAAAATACAAAACAAAAATACTTTCTAACAGTTGGCAGTTGAGCACAGTAGATAGAATATTGCACTGAATTATTACCCATTTTTTATAGCATGTGGACAGTATGTGTTGATGTACATCCCAGTGATTTAGAGCAAATCTCTCAAAGGAGTGAACTATGAATTCCACATCCTTAGTACAAGAGAAAAACAAAGACCTGAATTCCTTTCATTTGCTCCCAAATCCTTTAACCTCTGAGACTAGTTGTAATAATCTACCTGTCCACAATGTGTGCATTGTCTCTTGCTTTTTCTTTTTATTTAATGCCCAACAGTGCACAATGTGTGTGTCTCTGAGTCTAAAAGTAAAATAGTTTCCTGAAACCTGCAGTCACAGATCGTTTTTAATATTTTTAATGCATCCAAGTGTCAATGGTCTGACCCTGTGGGGGTTTTGTTTGAGGGCTATTACTCTTCCTCATCTTTTCCCCTTCTGGCCTGACCCAGGGACGACTGGCAGCGCCGCTGCACAGAGATTGTCGCCATCGACGCACTTCACTTCCGACGCTACCTTGATCAGTTTGTGCCTGAGAAAATGAGACGCGAGCTTAACAAGGCCAGTAACCTTATTTCTTAGTTCATCTGGCAGCTGTCATCTATTTACTGCCATTTTATTAATGCTGAAATTAATGCTTTCTGGTAATTCTTGCAGTGTCAGTATGTCTGCCCACAGTTCTCCTGATGTAATGGCTCTGTCAGCTTGTACAAGATGTACTTTCTATTTTGTAATTGTTTGATTACTGTCTGAGGTTGCCAGATAGACTATCGCTTGATGTCAAACCCCACACATGCATTTATCTCATCAAGTACTTTTAGCTGCTTTGGAACATTGTCATTTTAAGGCCATCTAGAAATGAATCCACCCTGATCATTTTTTTCAGTCTCCCTAATGACATTTTCTCTACAAGGTATGCTATCAGGATTAAAACCAATAAACCAGAAAAGTCAAATTAATTATTGTCCAGATATAGGTAAGAGTCACATGTTGTCTGTGGATTTGGTAATTTGACATATTTATGTTGGAAACTGTGGTACTTAGTGCTGCCTAGTATAATCTTTTTATTATTTACAGAAATATAAAAATGAGCCAGACCTATTGTTAGTACACATTTTCATGACTGTTAACCATAACAAATAAACCCCATCATACATTAGAGTGCAGAGTCCAGTGGGTAAGTGAAGTGGGTAAATGAATTTGTGGACTTGGGTGGCTGCATGTGCTGATCCCACAGGTGTTGCTGATTGTGACACAGACTGGATATAAACAACCAGGTTATCCAGAAAGTCTTTTACCACCCTTGAAATTTAGTGAGTATTTTGAACATAATTAGATTGATTATTTTATATCCTAATCCACTTGAGAATCTAATGTATTAACAGAGATATTTTCTTATTCTAATGTCTAGAGTTCTCAGCTGAATCTGATAAAAAGTTTAAAGGATAATGGGCTTGTCTGAAGCTGAGTTTACATAATAGACATTTTTTATAAATCCTCAGAAAAGCTATCTAGAAAGACCTTTCTCTAGTCTATCAAGAGTTTTAAATTTCTCTGCTGAGCTGATTCAGATTTGAATTTACTTGTGCCCTATCAACCATCCTTCACTAATGCTGGGTGTGGTGGCCACGCCTGTAATCCCAGCACTCCAGAAGCTGAGGCAGGAGAATCACTGCAGGTTCACAGTCAGCCTAAACTACAAAGTGAGACCTTGTCAAAAATCCAATAAAAAAAGAGAAGAAAAAATCTTTTACTAGTAATTGGGTATATTTTAAATGTAATTCTCCTTAGGGTAGGGATGTGGCTTGGTGCTTCAGTGCTTGCCCATCATGTGTGAGTTCCTGGGTTCAATCCCTGGCACAACCACCAGCACCCCAGACCCCTCACACCAGTAGATGAATGTAAACCTGCTTTTGCTCATCCAAATTCTTGCCCTAAAGCAATTGCTTTCAATCCCATAATTTGTGGTAGAGCATATCAGATAGAATAGGAAAGTTTATCTTCATATTTTCTTTGTTACTTATACATATATATAGAAATTTGTCACATGGTCATTGAAACTGGAAAGACATTTATTTACATATAGGCAATAGGTGATTTGGAAATAAATATATGATAGGAAGATAAAGCCAAAATGTATCTAGCCATAATCATACAGTTTATTAACATGAGTTGAAAGATTACTTTTTTATAAATAAAGTCTATATTCCAACATGTACTCTCCAGTGGGAGCTAGATCCTTCACTTTTAGACATTATCTGTCCACAATTACGATCTTTTTAAAAGGTAATCTTTGCACATAAATGAGTCTTTTTTTTACATGTCCCATGGTCAGTTGATGCTGTCTACATTTACTTATATAACACAAACCTTCAGTTTACTTGTCCTCAAAGACACCAGAAATTTGCAAAATATGAAACTTTGGTATACATGAGTAGATGAAGTTAGTTGTACAGTAATTGTTGGCAGCATCAAAAAGGATTTTTTGTGGAATACAGAATGTTTAAGAGACATTCTGCAAAACGATTGAATCTTTAACCTGGCAACAAAGGAAAAATTTTTTTATTTTATCCAGATGAGCCATTACCTGGCACACTGCCTGCCTGATGAGTGTGCCTAAAAAACAATTTGAGTGCTTAAGCAAATAACTTTTTACACAACCCTAATACAGATTTTTAGGGTAAACATTTTAGAAATTTCATAAATTATCTCAAATCACTCAAAATGTTAGATGTATTCTAAATACTTTCTGAGGGCTGAATAAAGCCTAGTAAGTCCACTGTTGGATCAGATGCAGAACAGAAAGCCATTTGAAGCAGATGAGTTGATTTTTTATATATTGTAATGCAGTTCTGTATTTGTGTTCAACCTGTTAATATGCAATCAAGTCTGATCTGTAACTTAAGATTCTTTTCAGTCAAAAAAAATAGAATTTTTTTCAAATAATAAAAATTACAATAGTAAAAGCATTACTGTGAAGTAGGCACTTTGCTTAGCACCTTTAATCCATTGTCTGATTTTCTTTAGCCCCTGTGGTGCTGGGGTCTGAACTCTGGGCTTGGTGAGTGTAGGGTAAGAACTTCCTCACTGAGCTATGCCTCTAGTCCCTGAGTGTTTTGGGGGTTGTTGTGGTTTGGGGTGGGGGGGAGTTGGTTGGTTGGTTTAGACAGTTTCTGGCCTCATGCTATCCTGCTTCAGCCTCTAAAGTAGCTGGGTCTGCAGAAGCACTGCTGCTGGCCCACATGCCAGGTCTAGCTTAATGCTCAGACCCAGGAGGCAGGGATGCCATTCTTATCTCTATTTTCAAAACAGTGGCCTGCCCCTCAGGATGTTTGAATAACTTTTCCCAGGGTGGAGAGCTTAGCATTGTCGTGTTAGGGTTTAAATGCGTGTTAGGGTTTAAATGCGGGTTCACTGACTTGAGTTCATCCTCTCCTTGTGCATGTGTGGTGCTGAGGTTTGAACCCAGAGCTTCTTGCAGGCTTGGCAAGTGCCCTACCACTGAGTCCCAGCACCACCCTGTGATCCTCCCACGAAGAGGTTACTATAACTAGGTCTGGCCTTAGGGACTTGTTTGCCTGGTTTAATCTTAAATTATTGAGACTGTGCTTGCCTTGTAATACATGATCCTCCTACAAGCATGCTTTTGTCATCTCTTCCAACATGATCATTAACTTGACTGTGAACAAAGTACCCACTGAATCTTTTTCACAGTATTCTTTAGTATTTGATATACTTTTTCAGGAAATTCAAATTGTCCCCAGCTTACTTATTAAATTCCCATGAGATAAGAAATTACCACAGGCATAGTTTATAGCCTATCAGCCAGCACATGAGCTTGTGTTTGTTCAGGGCCTGGCACATGGGGAATCATGTGTTCTTTCACTCACTGCTGTATTCCCCAAACTTTATTTTTTCAACAAAGAATATTTTTCTAATTCTTTGAAAAAGGAGAAAGTAACATGATTTTGTTAAATGTCATTGACAGTTTAATGAAAAATTAATCCAAATAACTTCGGGCTTTTGATATTAAAGCATTCCATTCCTTATTAGTTACATTTATCTATTTAAAATTTATGAATTTTAGTAACGCAGCAGGAATTCCACATAAACCAGCAGCACAATTTAACTTTTTATATCATTATGTTTTGTAAATTTAGGTTTAAAGCAGAAGTCTGAATTAAACCCTTTTAGATGCTTGCGTTTCTTTTTTTTTGCAGGCCTGAAAGAAAGTAGGGAGGAATCGAAAAACTATATTTTTTAAATGAAGCAACAAAGCAAAGAGCCCTCTTTCCAGCATCAGAATTGAGAGGGCTTTCTGAGCTGTAAGGGCCTGTTTGCTGCTTCCAGGTATTACTCTCCAGATAATAAGTGAAAGAGCAGCCCCAGAGTGCTTTATTCCTCTGGAAGAGGGCTCCCTCCAGGCTCCACTGCCCTGGACCCACATGCATTGTGACCTAGTGGTAGACTTGGAGTTTAATAAGAAGGAATCAGTCTTTATCTAACTGGTGCTGTGGAGCTGTGTTTAATCCTGTGAAAGATCAGCTGGGTGACATTCTGGAGGAGAATTATCTTTGGTTTTGGGAAGATTTATGACCCCCACTCGTTTTAAAAAGTGGCAAAAAGCTCCGCAAGGGAAGAAAAAACTCAACCTGTGAAAAGTTGTGTGTAGCCAGCCAGCCGTGTTAGGCTTCTTGAGTAAGATTGTGTAACAAGGACTGGGGTGCAGTTCAGTGGTAGAGCACTTG